AAGGTTTTGGATAGTGCATATTCTGTTAGCAGAAACTCGATGGTGAAGTTGAAACAGAGGCTGAAACTAACGAGCAATCTGCTGCTTCTGTTTAGCTACAGTAACCATGAAAACTCATATTTCCAAAGCATAAGTGACATCTCTGATAAAAATGGGAAGCAGCAAGCTCTCATATTTAAGAGAGAGAAACCATGAAATCTTTGGCAAGTAAAGAATAACTTTAACTTAAAATAATGACTGTTTTGTTTTAGCTCAATCAATCAGCTGTTCGACTAAAGCTATCTAAAGTAATCTAAAGTAACTACATCTGTCTGACAGTGATCTTCTCTAACATGTAGATACTTAAAGGAAAAGTTATTTAGTCTAAGTTTAGTATAAATTCCTAGATTTTTACTTACTTAAAGTACTTTCTCAAGCATTGGTTTTGTTGCAAGTCTCAACTAAAACAAATTTGCATGAATATGTAATATATTAGATGGTTGGCCAAGGATCAAGTCACTCATCTTCCCTGCAGCTGGGAAATACCTCCTACTCTGCAGTAAAGCTACTGGTATTAGATCCAGATGTGCTGCATTTTTTAGGGGAATCGATGAGTACAAAAGGAGGTTCCTGCTCCATTTGTGCCTCCACAACATCTCCCAACATGCAACTGGCTAAAATCCAGGATAAGATGACTTTAAAAATGAGCTGAGCTTCATTTCTCTTCAGGTGTTCCTTCCCCGTTTGCTGACCAAGCAGTTTAATTACGGCTCGGCTCCGGTTAATTACTGAGGAGTCCCCCTCCGGGCCAAATGTGCTAAAGCCTTCATTTAATCCTGCAAGATAATGACATGACCTGAGATTCCCCTCGGCAGCACATATGAACTCCAGTGATGATGAGGAGTGATTGAAAGGATGATGCTCGGTCTCTCAGCTTTGTCATTAGAGATAGATGAAATGTCAGATGAGCAGCAGCTTCTTTGTGGTCTGACTCATTTCTGCTGCATGGTCTCACTCTGTCTGCAGTGTGCATGTCTCTGCAGTAAAATCTGCCTAATGTGTGTCAGTGTCTGGGTATTCTGCACCCCTTAGTCATCAGAAGCAGCGTTTGAGTAAAAGCACCAGTCGGGCAAGCCTTTCTTTGTCATACGTGAGAAAAAATGGATTCTCTTTGGGTCCGAGAACAAGTTATGAGGGGACTATTTTCATACATATTATCACAAAAGCTGAATGAGTAACAAGAAGTCTAATCTCGAAGGTTATGTTTGCCTATTAGGAAAAACAGCTCAAATCTATAGAAAACCTCAGTTTCAATTTTATCCATGTATAATCTCACATATCATTTTAATTGCCATATGCATGATAGTACACCCCACTTGCAGTAATGTCCATTTCTATATTTGAACACTGCAGTGATTAGCCTGTTTATTTCCTGTGTGACTAATTCTCTGTGAGGGGAAATATTAGCCTGGGGAAGTGTATTGTGTGGAACATTGGGCTCTTTATAAGAAAAACAAAACAAACATAAAAACCCACTGACGGTGGGTTTAATCTGCTTGTCTTGGGAAGAATCTGGAGCAGAGTAGGGAAATTAAATGTATCTTTACTAATAAAATGCTTTAAAGTGGACTTTATTAGCTCGAGACTAAGTTTAATGCTGAGCTGAAGCAAAGGAAGCAGAGCAGGAACTGAGAGCTGGGATGGGGGGTGGGGGATTGACAGACTGGAAAGTTTGGCACTCAGCTCTAAACACGGAGTCATTTTCAGGATACTGCGCCTGAGCCACCACTGCAGAGAAAGAAGAGTAACAGTGATTTATTGTGCAGAAAGTTCAGTACAAGAACTGTTATAACATGGAAAATGGTGAGTAAGAGACACAATCGCCAAGTGGGTAATGAAAACATGCTGTTTGTCCTAATGTGTGGTGGAGTTAAAGTGAAAGTTTCAAAACATAACCAAGGCCATTTACATGCATCACCTCAAGAAAGCAAAGAGCCCCAGGAGTTTCCATTTCCTGATTGGAAATCCAGGTATGGACTGGAATATTATTTGAGTTGTGCTAAAGGAAGCTGAAAGGAGGTTGTGGAAATGAGAGTGTCTGCCTGCTTCTGTGTGACCTACATAATATGTGCTTCAGTCATATTATTTCACCCCAGCTGATGCTCAGGAGGTTTGGGGTTCGAGCCCTAGGCTTTTCTACATGTTGGCTTAAATACATGTCCAGGGGTTAGGTTGCTCCTGATGTTTCCATGTGAGTGTGTGAATGTTAGGTTAAAAGTGCTTAGGTTTTTTAAATACGTGTGAATGATACTTGTAGTAAGAAAGCTCAAAAAGAGTAGAAAAGTGCTATTTGAGTGACAGTCTATCTACCATAAACACATGTGACATGTCTGGTTGTTTTTTCAGCTGGCTCTGGGACTACAGTAGATGAAAATGAGTTTACAGAGGAAGATACGACTCCTCAACTGGACTACACATGTGCGTATGGACAACAGACACTCACTGGGGCTGGGCCATATGTCAGAACATACCATCAAACAGTGTCTATTAAAGATTTGGCCTCTGTCGCTCATATGACGGTAGCTAACACATCTGGTGTCAAGAATAAGCAGCTTAGTAAGAAAGTCTCTGTTAACTTTTAGAGTTTTGCTCAAAGACTCTTCTAGAAAACCAGGTGATAAAGAGAATATAGATATTTATAGCCTGCTTACTTCTTTGGATTCAGGGTTATGCAATCCAGATGAAATGTTTTTTTGATTTTTTTGTCAGTCACTGCTGTTAAAGCCATTAGAAAAAAAAACTTGTGTAATTATTTTTTTATTTTTTTATTCATTCTTTGCTGCCTTGGGCTACGTCCACACGTACACGGGTATTTTTGAAAACGGAGATTTTCCGTTTTCGTTTTAAAAAATAATCCCGTCCACACGTAAAGGCAGAAATGAAGGAAAACGCTGTTAGGAACATGCCAAAGCAGCAGGTGGCGCTATATTCCTAACTGTGCAGAAATGTTGGCCAATCAGAAGTCTAGAAGCCTCGGCGGGAAATAGTAAACAAAGCTGGGGCATAGAAGCAGAACCGAGTGGTATGTGTGGAGGTACAGTAACTGTGTGTGTATATGTAAGCATTTAAACACTGCAGAGAGTAAAAGTAACAGTAACAGTATTGTAGAAATTCATTTCACTGAAACAATAACGTGGCGCACACTGTGACGTCAAAAAAGGCGCACACCTTTGATGCTGCGTTTTCTCCGTTTTTCTCGTCCACACGTAAATGCAAAAACTGAGTTTTAGAAAATATCCACCCTGGCAGGAGTTTTTTAGAAATCTCCGTTTTCATTGACCGAAAACGCCGTTTACGTGTGGACGAAAGGTGCAAACGCATAGAAAAATCTGCGTTTTCAAAAATACCCGGGTACGTGTGGACATAATCTTGATGTCTGGCTTAATCCTCTTCACAACGTTGCTTCAGTTCATTGAAGATTGGAGGCATTTGTTTAGGCACAGCTTTCTTAAATTCCCAACAAAGCATTTTAATTGTGTTGAGGTCTGTCAGACAGATGACCTCACATTTGACTCTAGAATACTCTGTTATACATAGGAGCTCATGGTCGACTCAATGACTGCTAGGTGTCCTGTGGCTGCAAAACAAGCCCAAACCATCACCTTTCCATCACCGTGTTTGACACTTGGTATGAGTTGTTTATGCTGATATGCAGTGTTTGGTTTTCTCCAAATGTGACTCTGTGCATCACAGCCAAACATTTCCAATTTTGTGTCCTCTGTCCAAAAGTCACTGTTTCAGAAATCTCTTTCTGGGATGTCGACTCCTGGGAAGCTTGGCTATTGTCCTGAATGTTTTGCATTATCCCTTATTGTACAATTACGGTCATTTTGGAAATGACCATATGAACCTTCACAGGTTGATGGGTAGCAACTGCTTCTTTAAGGTCATTCCTGATCAGCAAGCTGCCAAAACTTGCTTTTATAGAGGCGCTCACACTTTCTAATGAGTAGTACGTGGCTGCTATTTACTCTGACTAACATTGTGTTAAATAATGAGATGGTGTAATATCTCATTTGTTATTGTTCGTCTCAGGTTGTATTTAGCCTGCCAAGGACCATGTGATTTTTTTCTTATGTTCTGATATGTAAAACCGTAGAATTGAAATTCGTGGTGCTTTTCATCTGGTTTCTTGCTGAAGTTTGACTCTTTGAACTCTATAATAAAGACTGATTAACTGATATAGACAAGCACAGTCTGAAATCCCACTTTTCACATGGGTGAACACTGAATCCAACACTCAGAGTCTAAAGGAATCACACAAATCTGATTCTGGCTGCTCTTTAAAAACAGACCCTTACTGGTGCCATCCTCCGGGTCTGACCAACGGTGAGGTGACCTGCCACTCCCCTCGAGGCAGAGCCTACAGGAGCACATTGGGAACGCGTTGCCAGATGAGCTGCGATCGAGGGTACAAGCTGCTGGGAAGACGCTCCATTATGTGCCTCGCTAATCGCAGCTGGTCTGGGACTGCTTACTGCCGCAGTATGTGGAGATTTTAACTTAACATGTGATCAGTTTGGTGACACTTTTTGTTTTTCTGACCAAGAAAATCGATCAGCAAATATGGTGAGTGTCTGTTATTTGAAAATATTCATTACATCTCATTCTTACTGGCCAGGAATTATAAAATCAGTTCAGTTCACATGTTCCCTTATAGCCACGCTCACTGGAGTTGTTAATTTTATTCACTGGCACCACATGTAAGTGTTAATCCACTGCTGAAAATAGTCCCCAATTACACATTTTTTTTTTACTCTTTGAGAGTAATAGTTGCTTAAAAAATTCAGTTCGCAGTTTGAGCCTTTTTAACAGCTCGGAGAGTTAAATCAAATCCTGTTTTAGATATTTACTTCACACGTGCTCACACTGTTAGTGTTGTTGATACTAAAAATAGAAAATCACCAGCCAAACCTTTTAATTCTTGGACTTTCCTGGGGTGGCTTTTTATGATTCACAATTCAAAATAATAAATTGTTATTTTTTTAATACTCGGAAGCAGACTCCTTGACAATTTAAACCTTTAAGGAAAGTTTCTTTTGATTGCCCCCTCCCATACAGAAGGTTTGAAAGGCAGATGGGTGGGGCTTCTGTGCTTACAGTGGAAAGTGTGAGGCTGACATGTCCATATTAAGGATATCTGCTGTCAGTGATGTTATACAGACCCAAGAGAATAAAATAATCTAAAACTAAACGTTTAGAGC